CAACTCTGCTACTTTTAAATTACACAGTTTTCTAGCCATTTTTTTCCACTATTTATTTACAGTATCCTGACTTCTGATACCAATATAACCTTTATTTATTTTAACCACTAATTTATTTATTAACGAAATTTATTTGTATTCAAAACGACGCTATTTATTTCACTTATATACTAAATTATTTAGCAATATTTATCTTAACAACAATCGATCTCTTACTGTAATTTATATGAAAATTGGGGATTACAGTCCTGTTCTCGAGCATTCCAGGCGTTTTAGACTATAAGAGACCAGAATCAATGTCGTATTCATCATCGCCAAACGAGGTAGTCGATCTGTCTGCGAGGGAAAGCATAGGCGATTTCAGAGGTGACTCGTTTTATCAAATATTTTTGGTAACGGAAAAAGTGAAGGCCGTAAAAGGCCTAAATACGGCAAAGAGGGACTTTAGGAATTAGAGTATGACTCGCACGAATAATATTTTTAATTTTTTTACATAAAAATAAGAAAAATGCTATTACAACCCAAAGAAACATTTTTAAATATACTGTGAAATGATGGCTCCTGTGTAAGCATATTGTTACGTTGTTCTACTGTTTACCTGCATTACTAAAATTGTACTAATCTACAGAATTCAACAAAAAAGGGAGCGATAAGAAAAGTAGCGAAAAAAAATATTCGGTACTATAATTGGAATAACCATTATAAGTAGTGAGATTACTACTATATTTAGGAAAAAAAATTAAATTGTATAACCACATTTAACGTAGTCTAGGCGACCAGTAGAAGCCTACCAATTCACAAAGTGATTTATCTTAGATTTCCGTCACTTTGTTTTATTTAAAAATTATGAGGCACTTAAGCTTTATTTATATCATCCACAAGCGACCTCTCAAACAACTCAAAACATAATAAAATGTTTAATTTTACTCCCATTATAATTCAAAGAGAGCGACTGGAACAGATATTATAAAAAATATATCTATTAATTATGTTACTGGAAATAGCGGAGAGTGACAAGATAACAAGAAACATTTGAAAATAAAAAACGGTAAATTTGTCTCTTTTTAATGTATCAATAAACTAAAACTCATATTAATTAGCAATTTTCTTTTATAAATTTTTATTCCAGATCTTTGATAATTATAGAAAAACATTGGAAGAATTTATTTGAAAGAAAGTAAGTAAATAAGACCGTAGAAAAAGCAAGAAATAAGGAAAGCACTTTGGAAAGGACCGTGTGAAAAGAATAGAAGACAATTGTTATTTTTTTTAGTTTGTTTTTTATAATTTTGTATTAGGTATTGATTTTTTTATAAAGTTGTATTTTTCTTTAGAAGTTTTAAATCCACCCAAAATCTAGAAGCTGGTTGCTGCTGAAACTGCGGTTGATATGCAAATTTAACTGTTGTTTTCTGAATGCTTTTTTTTTCGTGTAGAATAGGATTCTTTATTCATTTTTAAATGGTTTAAATTATTTTTAAGAAACCTTGAATTCTTCCAAAATTTGAGTTTTTTTGGTGCACTCAAATAATACCATATCTTTGTTAACCAATGTCACTGTCGTATTTAACAGAACTAAGTTTTCTTTAAAGTCACCAAAAATAGTAATAATTTATGACTTTAAATAATTTTTAAAATAAAATAAACGAAAAAAAAAGATCATTTTATTTTTTCTAATTCGGGAATCGAACTCGAGTCCTCCGCGTGGAAGACCAGAACGCTGACCACAGATCCACCTATTCTTTTAATTTTGTTACCTTAATATTCGTAATTAAATTGACTTCATATAGTTTTATTTAAATTAACAAATTATTTATAATTATAGACGAAATAATAACAGAAATGCTATTATTTATCGATTCTACACAAGAATAATCCATTTTAATGTATGTTTGATCTCAATAACTAAAAAATATACTGACAATTAGCTTGACAGAATTGTGACTTATTTAAAATTTTAAAAATAATAGCAGTCGGTTGATCAAAATATGAACGGTGATTGGTGGATATCATTTTTTTGCAGTGTTCTTACTACCTAGAATGGATATGAAATATACTCGTTCAGTTGAAGGCAATAGCATAATTTTTCGTGTTGTAATCTGTGCGTAGATAAGCTAATATCCATGTGGGCGTAGAAAAAAGCTATTTAAGTTGTTGTTTTACCAGATGACGTGAGATACAGGTATCGTTGAAGACATAAATTCCATCAGTTACTTAATGACCCGACTATTCCCTATTTTAACGATATAAGAAATATATGGGGATAACTCTTATCCGAGCAATTTTGAAAATCGTAAAATATGATTAATATCAATGAATATTCTAGGAATAACCTAGCGGCTTGATGTTAATCACTCCTACCATTAACATTTAGAGTTCATTATCGGGCTAGAGTAAGCAAATATTGAACACATGTTTTCGGTTTACCGTAATACTTAAATTGGCAAACAGATAGAACTATCAAAAGTTAGGATTTACAATGATACGTTATCAATAAGGTATCAATTAGGCTTCACCTAATCTGATGACCCATATAAAACACGTTATCACTTTGTTTAGAATGTTGCCAAGAGTCATTATCTCTGAGGGATTATTAATTTAATTATATATCACGAAAGGTCTTCTAATTGCAGACATTTAAATTGGGGTTGTATTTTTAGCAGTGTGGTGTAGGATGATTCTAAAAAGCAGACTATTCATGACGTTGAAACAAACCATCTCTGGAAACCATTGTCAAAGACGAATGTGCTAAAGGCGGTTCTAACTATTGAGGGTATTCGAATTAATTTGATCATAAATTAAGGAAGAAATTTATAAATACGTCAAAAATTACAATTAGAGACTGTTAAAAATAACGGAACATGTTATAAACCAAAATTCAAGAATATAAATAATGTAATAACTTGTTGTTTCCTGAGTTTCTAAAGAAGCTCTAAATAAAGCAACATTGGAGCAATTTTCATCATAATGCAATGCTAAATAAATGGTGAAATTATTGTTTAAAAACACTAATTTATCATGAATAGTTTTTGGATGTCATTTAAATTCGTTTCATAATTTTGTAACTAAAATACTTCAGAATAAAAATATGAATAATTTGAAAATTCGGAAACAAATATCAAAAATCCCCTACGAATTATTAAGACCATCCCAAAACCCCAAAGGTGAAAACAAATACTTGGAGGTTTAAAAAAAATTAACCATGTTCAAATATTGTTGTCAAAAAATACTTATTAAAGCTGTGACGAAGTCACTAAATTTTGCTCTCAATTAATTTAAAAATGTATATTTCAATTAATTCCCGCCTGAGAACATGTAGAAGATCCCCCGTATTTCTGTTTCCCAGGAATTACCGTTTTTCAACAATTGCGAGTACCCTCGTAGGTTAAAATATTCCTATATTTGCCGAAATCCGAATGGGCATTTTGTAGAGTCGATTTCCTACCAATTATCTAACTTTATTTGTCAAGGTACTAGAAGGACATTTTTTTTTATTTTTAAATTGTAAACAGTCGGTTTTAGTATCGCAATGTGGTTTCTTATGAAACTAGTTATCCTGTAGTAAGTATATACTCGTTGATTTTCCGTTATGTTACACAGAGTGCCACAAAAGAAAGTAATCGATTTCTATTAGAAAACGATAAGTAGAATTCTACATGACACAGGGTACCAGCCCAGACTTCTGTAAAATTAAATTCACACACACTCTCGATCGACTCTGGGAAAATTTCAAAATATTATTTTCTACGATCGTCGCCTCCGCCGTCCAAAACACCGCATAAATACCCATGTTTCTCACTCGACGAACATTTTCGCTTCCCATCGCTCGAGTTTAAGATACGAGGGGATTCCGACAACTTTGTTTCATTGTATAGTAGGTTTTCCTTTTCTGAACGTAAATTGTAAGTGGGTTAATGGTGGTAATAGCAAACTTTAATTTTAATAAATTTTCCGTACCGCTTAACCTCCTGCGCTAATGAACCATAAATATCTCCCTACATTTAAATAATTTTCAATTGCAGTAATTTATTTTTCATAAATTTTCCGGATATAGGGATCCGTCAATATTTAAATAGTTTTCAATTGTAATAATTTATTTTTAATACATTTTCCGACTACAGGGATCCATTAATATTTAATTAGTTTTCAAGTGTAATAATCTATTTTTAATAAATTTTCCGAATACAGGGAGAAGTTAATATTTAATTAGTTTTCAAGTGTAATAATTTATTTTTAATAAATTTTCCGAATACTGGGATCCGTTCATATTTAATTACCGTTGTATTTTTTTTGTAAATATATATTTTATTACCTATTCCTGTGTTTTTCTTACTGCTGGTTCTTAACCGTTCTCTTTCAGGGTACCGTAGGGTACGAGGTGTAAAGAAGATAAGTGTTTTATTTGTATTTATTCTAGTATAGTGGCTACTTAGCAGTGACCTCCACTGAGTTTACCTTGAGTACACTCTGGTGTACCACAGGGTCGCAGAGCAAACTGCGATACCAAAACTGGCGCCTGAGCAACCCCTATTCGGAAATCACCTTCATAGCGCCACACAGACTCGCTGATTCACTGTAGGTGAACCAGAAGCCGTTCACAAAGCTAATAACTATCTTTAACTGAAAAGTTTTGAAACAATGACAAATCTGCCATTTTCTCACTAAATTTCAGTTCATAGGTTTGACCACCAGAGGCTCCAATGAATATCAGTAATTTTTTGTAATCGCAGAAGCTAGGACTCTTTTATATTGAAATTGAGACTTTTCTGACAAAGCTACTACTTAGAGTCCTTGGCTATGGGGAACGCCTGCCCCATTTTCCCCTGTCGGCGCCCATGCTAAAATTCTTTTCGTGTATGAAGTAAAATAGGTAAGCCGAGTCTTGGGAATTACTCAAACACTTAGAGCGGAATGAAAAGAAAGTATTAGAGGCCTAAAATATCTTTTGATATTATAATTTTTTTAATTAATAATATATAAGAAACAAAATCTTAACTTACCTTTACTGGTATACATACAATGATCAGTATCAAATCTGAGCATGCCAAACTTGACAGAAAGACGTTGGTGACGCTTTTCATACGCCTGTATTTGAAAGTGGTGAAAATAATAAGGATATTTCCAGTTAGACCCAAAATAAAGGTGACGCTGTAGACAATTAGCGTAGGCAGGAGTTCATTCCAGTTAAAATTAAGGTTGTAAGTTGAATCGTCATAAGTGTTGTTGCTACCATTTCCGATAATGTAGTCGTAGTCGCTCATAACTTCTTGTTAGTGTAATGCCTCTGTAATTGAAGAAAATAATGTTTAATTATCTGAATCGATTGTATTGGGGTGATATCCGATCATCGTCGAAATATATTAATATCAATGGTATTAGAAATAAATGAAGTCTAACGTTTTGTGATGTTTTTTTAATCTGCTTGTTTCGAGGACGGGATAAATAATTTCCAGCCTGACCTATAGTGGGCTATGATTTTGATGATTTCTTTATTGTTTTATTTAATGATATCGTATATCATTAGTTTTTCTGTGAAATATTGTAAGTTTGTGTTCAGTAATTTCTGGAGCCCGCTTATACTAATCATACTCAAGTTCTACGTTTTTTGAATAATGGAGAAACTGAAAGTATGAACGTTTTAAAATAGTGTTTACTATTTAAGTGCAATCAAAAAGTATTTGGAGACCAAACAGCACTCAAAAGACAATGGACATTAAGAGACGTACAGAAAATTCTGTTAGTGATGGCAAGACGCTCCAGATATGTTATATTGGACATACCATTTGTTGGTAAGACCGATAGTAACATACGCAGCTTTGGTGTGGTGGCCAAAGACACAACAAAGAATGGCAATAACGAGACAAGATAGAAAGGAATACATGGAATAACGGGGGAAGTGAGAGCAGTCCCCTCAGCAAAAATGTAAGCACTAATAGGCTTGCCACTACTTCACTTTGTGATACGGGGAAGACAAGATTAGGTGCTTATAAATTAGGGAATACCTTGGAAAATTTTAACATTAAACCAGGTCACATGTGCTATTAATTAATAGGCTTCGTTCCCTTACAAAAAACGTGATATTGGACAAATTAAACCTATAATAATCTTTAAAAATTTACATTAGTTACCGTATTTTCTTTGTTGTATTTTTTTAGTACGCATAGGCCGAGGGGGTCATGGCCCCATGCCCCTACCTCGTGTGCCCGCCACTACAAACAACCGCTAATGTGTAAGAATTTACTTTTATTATTCGATTCATCAAACTGTTTCATTGAAAAGATGCTGATAATTAGTTTTACAATGAAATTGTTGCTACAATTATTATCAATTATGTGTTTAAACAAAAGGTCAAGCCCTCGGCCAAGGCATACGTTTTATTACATTTCCGAAACCATAAGTTGCTGTCCAAATTTAAAGTGATGCAATTATTTTATATATTATTTTATATTATTTTATGGGATTAAATATCCGCCTTGCTAATGCCAAAAATAGACCAAACAAAATTACTTTGTGATGTACGTTCTTGAATCTTAACCTTTTTTAATTGAATTTGTTAAAAAAACAAGAATACGCCTGAAAATAAATTCCTACTAGTTGTAAATAACGTATAAATAGATCCCTTTTTACGTCGGTAAATCAAAATTATCATTTGACGAGACTTTCATTGAGTGGAAAAATCAACTGCATTTTTGCAAGAAAAACTGGGTTACAAGTCACTAGATATTAAAATCACGTAATTTAGATCTTAATTATTCAGACTTCACAAAGAAAATTGTGTTTTAATGAAAAAGCTTTTCATAAAAACCATCTATAATGGAGAGTATTCTTATGAATCAGAATTCTTTTAAAAAAATAATAAACAGTCTCAATATAACAATAAAAATAATTTCTCATTAATATATTTGACAGAAATGAGTATAAGTACATCAAAGTGGGCTACATTTATAGTATCACTGATTATTATTGAATATAAATCACATAAATAAGAAAAAATGCTACATAATTTAAAACCAATTGCAGTTGCGATGAAAAAAATATCTGACTAAATATAATTCCTAAAAAAATAAACAGAATGGCTTGCGATAACAAAAATGTGTACTACAATAAATCTTTTTAACTGTGAAAATTTAATATTTAGTCTGACTACTATTTTTTTATTTGAATGTATTTATTAGGAGTTTTCAGTATTTAGCATGTATAGGTGCTTTATAGAAAACGTCTTCTTAACAAAATCGATAAGTAGTATAAAAAATGGAACAGGTAAGTTTATAATAAAATGTGAACTTTTAAAAGTTTATTGATTTGGAACAAAAATACAAAAGTTCGTGTACCTACGCATAGGTACTTTTATATTTTACCTAATCATACCATAAAAAAAGGGGAACATTAGTCTGGGGCTGTTTAATCAAAAAGATAAAATAGTTAACACTAAACCACCGTACATAAACAAAGAATAGTAAATCCACTCTCTGTACAGACCAGTCCGATGCCGCAAGTCGAAAGAGCATGCAATCAGCCTGCGCACGCTGCTTGATACACAGTCTGTAAGCTTTGATAAGTTTCCGAATATTGTAAAATTGTATAGGGTGGAATTTAGTTGGCTATTTGTTTTTTACTAGTAAAATGTCAAAAAAAAGAGAAGTGGTGCAAATTACTGCTGTGTGGATGGCTGTGATAGCCAAGAAGGTGGAAGTCTGTCTTTTTTTCGGTGTCCGAAAAACAAAGAAAATTTATCAGAGTATGTTGTTAAACTAGAAATAATTTACGCCGAAAATTTTAATAATATTGCAAACCACAATATTATTGAATGTAAATTAAAAGAATCTTTTGAGCAAATTCCATTTATGCATCCTTGTTCTAATTATCCCATTGAATATTTTCTCTCACTGTAAGACAAAAAGCTTAATAAACCAAACGCTAAACTAACTATATTACAGAATCTGTAAATGTGATTCTTTTTGAAATAAAAACAATTTTTTCATAGATACATTGTTTCTTTTTTTGCGTATTTAAAAAAATATTTATTCTTTTTTATTGTTCTTTTACTCTTTTTTTTTTTGTCAAATAAATAATGTTCTTAGTAATAGGTATATTAACGGGGTAGGTGGCTCCGGGGTAGGTGGCTCAGTGGTAGAGTCTCTGCCTGCGGATCCAAGGGTCCCAGGTTCGAATCTCACCGTTGGCTGGTTTTTTTTTCATTTAATTTAATTATTTAAAATTAATTCTGATGCCTTGGTAGGATCCCCCAGACGACCATTCACTGTTGGGTACTAATTAACAGTGACGTTCCTAAAGTGGCGCTGGGAAACAGTAACAAAGCCTACACAGAACACGAGGCTAATAACCGTAGCAGTTGATGCCGATGACACAAAAAAATAGGTACATTTATTTCTATTTTTAAATAAAAAATAAAAATATTTCCTACCCTTATTTTACATCGACACCATACAATTAATGTAGCGCCAACTATTCGTCCAACCTCCGTAACTTATTACCGTCGCACAGCTCATAGTAAGCGACCCACATCTGTATGCCCTGGAATGTGTGTGAAGACTGTGAAGTGACAAAAACTGTCGGCAAACTTGTGCACAAAGGACTTCAAAGGCGACTGGGAGAGTCGATTTACTATTCTTTGTTTTATGTACGGTGACTAAACATTTTATTTACATTCGGTGCGGTAATCAACTCTCGTCAAAAACTATGTGATACCTTTTTATTTTTATCGTTTAAGCTTGGGATACTTCATAAAAGTTTATAACTAATTTTTCAAATATCATAACCCTTGAAACATATTTTTTAACAAGAGTAGCGCCGCGTGTATCTTTTGAATAGTAAATTTTTGCTTATTCTGCTTCTCTAACTGCGATTTAGTTCATTTAAATTTTCGACCGAATTCTATATCTCGGGAACCACAAAAGTAGGTACCATGATTTTAGTGTCATTTTGCTTCTCTAAGTGTCCTTAGCTTATACCTGAGTCCGATAAGGTTTTGGCTTTCTCTATCCCGAAATCGCGGCATAAACAGACAAACATTGGCACTTTAATATAGTAGGATAACAACAAGTTTTTCAAAATTTCTGTCAAACAACGCATGCCTTTTGGGAGGGTTGACAATTGTGACCAAGGAGAATAATCTCTCAACGGGCTCAGAAGAAGGAAGTGCCGTATTATATTTAAAAAACACTTTTCTCATCAAGGGGTAGCTATCTAGCATCGTAATATTTTTTCTTTAATCATCGAGACATTATAACACTGCTAACTGTACCCCATTTTTTGTACAACCGAAGGTGCTACGCCTTCATTGATATCAAAAAAGTCTGTATTTATAATATCTTTGGTTGTAGTACTAATAAAATTAGCTTTCAATTTAAGTGTCACACTTTACCATAGGTAATAATTTTTTATCCCGCTACAGGGTGTTAAAATTAAAAAGGAACGCAATAATAATAATAATAATAATAATAATAATAATAATACTCTCCCTAATTCACCCCCTTACGAGTGAATTTCAACCCCTGAAGTCGACTGAACGACTTGTGTAGGGGAAGGGACGGCTATTATTATTATTATTTGCCGTGAACAGTCATATTGCTGAATTCCCCATAAAATTAGATTGAGACGTAGGGGAGAGGAATGATATATGACAGTTGAGGACATGAAATAAAAATCGACCTGTTTTTGCGTTGCTTTCAAAAAAACTTCTACTTCAAGATATTCTAAAATACGGCCGGTCGCCACCCTTAATGAATTACCCTGTACATAATATTAAAATTATATTGAATAATCTAAAATGTATAGTTCTGTATCTCGTTCGTACAAACAAAAATGAGACACATTTTACTCAAATTTGGTTATAGATCTACATCATCAAATAATTTCTTATAACATAAAATATATTTATATTCCGTTACAAGTTCTATAAATTTAATTAAAGTATTGCATTTTCTACGTTAAAATCAAATACTTGTAACGCTAAAGTAACTTAGAATACGTTTATTAAAATAGTTTATCCATCATTTTAATGTAGAAAACTAGAATAATAACTAAAAATACCTACGCAACGTAAATAAGTATTTTTTTTTTGTATTTACCCCATAAAAACTACTATTTGCACCACTTCATACTATATTTCCTTAGTTTATAATGTTTATGCAACATAAATTATGTTTATAATAATATAAATACAAAATACGTCTTAAAAATAAGGATATCTGCATCTACTTGCCCCTTACTGTTATTATTTTGGGTTCAACAATTTCACTGCTTCACGGTACAATGCTTTCC